ATAACGAACTAAAACTCTTTTTGAATGACAAAAACTATGACGTAATTCTACTGACATTTTCGTTGATGAATAAAAACGAGACGAAAATGTTAGGGAGGGACGATTTGGGAAGAGATTCATTCAGAACGAATCTGCTGTGTGGTTCGAACTTCGGAGGTTAGACTCGTCAACGACATTTTTTTCACCAACGACAAAGAGACGATAACGAACGTCTCGGGTTACTTATGTAACCATGGTTCCCTGAGTAGGGAACGAGACACTGCGTCCTCTAGGGGTCGCTATGGGGAACGCCTCGTCGTGACTCGTATCTGAAGCATACATTGAAAAAACACCAACTCGTTGGCCGGCGACAGCCATGACGTCACTACCGGTGCGACTACAGTATAAATCGGTGCCGGGAGCTACACATCGTTCACTTCTTCGTCTGAAGCTTGCGTCCGCAGCATGGCAAGAAACCTAGAGGACGCAGTGTCTCGTTCCCTACTCAGGGAACCATGGTTACATAAGTAACCCGAGACGTTCCCTTTCATGGGAACTTCGAACTGCGTCCTCTAGGGGTCGCTAGGGGGAACGGTATACCCACGCCACCATGCTGAGGGGAATGCAAGCCAGAACCATGGCGAGCACTAAATACCAACTCTACCATATTGCTATGGGAGTTGCCCCTGGGACGTTTAGACGGCTGTCAGTGACGTTATTCCCGTCCGTTATTAATACCGTTCTAGGGGTTCTCGTGGCACCCTGAAAAGGCAGCCTATAGATAAAAATAGCGTATCCCCAGACGCTATATCTACGGCTATAATGCTGGATGAAAGGGAACTAAAACTCTTTTTGAATGACAAAAACTATGACGTAAATCTACTGACATTTTTGTCGACGAATAAAAACGAGACGAAAATGTTAGAGAGGGACGATTTGGGAAGAGATTCATTCAGAACGAATCTGCTGTGTGGTTCGACCTTCGGAAGTTACATGCGTACATATGAACCAGCAGGACATAAGCTAACATACACTTGCTGCACGTCACATAAAACGTTCGAAAATGTCAATATGTGGGAGTAAGAGAAGAGCAGACATATGGATAAATCTGACGACGCAAGAGAGAACTCAATTCGGTCCAGTTTTCAGAGTGCAGACACTGAAGCATACACACACAGAAAGCGTGTTGTACTCTTTCGCGTCGCATGAACGGAGAATTGCACACAAAATGATGTCGAATTGTCTGTTTTGACGAGTATTCACGTAAACACAGTTGATTACGTCTTAAGTGAACGTAAACAGCAGGGAGAACGTGTATCAGTACATTGCATCCATTACAGCTGTGCATTCGGTTTTAAAGGGACAGGAGCCTAATTTACTTGCTATTGTCCGAGTCATTGATGTTAATCAAGCAACAAAAGAAAGACAGAAAATCACTCACTGCTCTTGACTGAAAAACTTTAGTAGCCCTAAAGATTAATCTAAATCTAAATAAGTATGTCTGCTTGAAAGAATGAAGAAGAATATGGTAAACACGTTGCTATAAAGAATGCATAATTAGCCAATGTTATTTCATTAAAAAGAAGACCATGTTCTTGTTCTTTATGAGAAGTGGTTTTATTTCATTTTAACATAAAGGCATGTTGTATGTCACCGCAGTTAAATCAGTACATGCTTTTTAAAAAGATACCATAAACTGAGAATCATCAATCTCAAAACATGAAACTGCTATCACGGTACAAGCACAGTGTTATATAAATAAAATATAGAGTTTTCATTCATTTCATTCTTTCTTTACTCCTATCAAGCATACTTAAATTTGAGCCCTCCTAATAACTCATAATATACATAGATACAAATCCACACCTAGTACTTGTATAAAAGAGTGGGATCTCTTTAAATTAATATTTAGACCATTTTTCAGGAATGCTTCATCTATATAAAGCAAAACTGGACTAAAAATAGTTAAACTATAATCATGCAACTTTTTTCAGTTGTAATTCTCTATACTCACACTGTGGAACTGAAAACATCAGTTTATGTAAATATATGACAGCCGCAAAGTATAAACAGTTGTAACCACATTACCAGAGGTCCCAAATCCTCAATTCTATTTAAAACAATTGTAATCCTTTAACATAGAAAAAAATAAAGATCAATGCTTTCAGTTAAATACGTTCTGCCTCTTCTGTGTAGCTTGCTCCAGTGACAAATCACTACTGAGGGCCTAGTATTCATCTACATGAATATAATTGGTTGTGAAAGCGTAACAGAATTTGTTAGTGTGAACCTTGCAGCATAACCCCAAGTCTAGAAATCTAGGATAGTGGTTATATTTTCCGCCTGCATGGGCCTATTGTGTTTGCATGTCCTGGTGGGTAGTGGGCTACCAGGCCCATTGTAGAAACAAAAAGACAGCACTGAGACAACGTGAGGACCATTAACATCCCTCCTAGGGACCGTCATGTGATCTTGTGACAGTACAATGAGTCATGATGGCCTGTCACTGATGTACAGCAGGAGACATAGCAACATATATAGACTTTTGACCAGCTGCACTAATGCACTTGCCCTATGATATTAATTTATGGACAATTTAAAGTGAACAATTTAACAACAACAAACTCCCCTGAATTTTTTATTATATTTTGAAAATAAATTAATGCAAGAATGCATTAAAATCCATCAAAAGTCACAGTAAAAACTTTTATAATGCAACAAAAGATTTCTCTTCCAAATAAACGCTGTTTACAGATGGTTTCGAACTTTCTATTCATAGAAGAAATGTAGCCATGCCAATATTTAGTGGCACAGCCAGGGTTTTAATTTTCCAATGTAATAAATTACTTGTGCTTCATAGTGTGCAGATGAAACGCTGATGAAATAACAAACGCTGTCATGTTATCTTGCGTTCTGAGGCGGATCCCTGATGTTTGGGAACACAATCATCTGAGAAAGTTCTGGAACTGCGACTCCAAAGTTATCCAATCGCATGATCTGTTGCGCAAAGTCACACGAGTTGTTTTGTTGCACATCCACGACTTTATTCAGTAATTGTGTTTCCATCATAGTTTATGCACATTTTCTCTCTTTACAAAAAAATAAATAAACAAAAGTAAAATATCTGCCTCAATGGAGTTCGTTCATGTTTTATGCGCATTGTAAGATTTGATACTCGTCTTGCTATTTCCATCCAGCATTTTTTTTATGCCATAACATACGCAACATCATTAGGTGGGCTAGTGGGGCTTTACTTACAGTTGTTTACTTACAACTTTAATGACTTAATTTGTAGCTTAAAAGCTTTGAATGTCTACACTGTTTGACCTTGTTACATTTAGCCAAATAAAACTGGTTTTGTCTGCTGAATGCACTGGTAAACCTTGCCCTGATTTGATATTCAAATATTCAAGGTCTAGAACATGCAAGTTTAACTTCAAACCTTAACCTTTACTCACTGTATCAATAACACAATACTATCACCATTTTTCAAAACCCAAAGAAATAGTTTACAAAAAACACTAGTTGCACAGAGACTAAGTAGCCATCTCCAGAGGCCAGCGTTTTTCACCAAACAATTGTAAAATATTTTACTCTTTCCATTCTCTATTTCTGTATCTCTCTCATAATCAGTCTCTTGCTCTTATACTTTCAGGAGACACACTATTCATCGTGTTACGCAAGCAAAAGCTGATTTTCCTGCACTGGTATCATCACATCACAGTTTTGCTCTATTCCTGGTACTCCTACAAGGACATGGTGGCTGGCGGGGGCTGGTTCATGACCATGAACTATCTGGTGCACGCCGTCATGTATTCTTACTACGCTCTTCGGGCCTCCGGCTTCAAAATCTCTCGCAAGTTTGCCATGTTCATCACCTTGACGCAGATCACCCAGATGGTGATGGGCTGCGTGGTCAACTACCTGGTGTACTCGTGGATGCAGCAAGGCCAAGAGTGCCCGTCCCACGTGCAGAACATTGTGTGGTCTTCCCTCATGTACCTCAGCTACTTTGTGCTCTTCTGCCAGTTCTTCTTCGAAGCCTACATCACCAAGACCAAATCCAAAGCAGCCAAGAAAAGCCAATAAGACAAGAAAATTATTTTTAAAAATCAAATAAGGAGGGGTGGGAAAAAAAAAATGGACCAATGATTGGTAGTGGATGGATGAGTCTTTACAGTTACAGCTTATGAACTTGCAGAAGAAGCAAAGACCATGAGGGGCTACTATCAAAGCTTGTGCATACTGTACTATTAACGTATAGAGATAAACCTCCCCACCACTAGGGAAGGTCTTCTGAGCTGAACTGAGAAATCATTATGATTATATCAGTTGAACAAAAAAAAATGTGTCTTTATGTAATGTTTACGTGCCCAATACAATTCTCTGTATTTAAAAGAAAAGAAATGTATAGATTAAAAAAGGGATGCAAAATAAATTAAAACAGAATTAAGGAGAAGTCGAAATGGACTGGGAAATTATATGGATAGAATATTTGTGTGGTTATGTCTAAACATTAAATGTTACTGTTGCATTTTTATTTTTATTGATAGCTTGTGTACGGCAGTTTTGTACGAAAGCCATGTTAATGGAAAACTGGTAAATGTTGAGCTAAAAATGCCACAGTGTGTTCTATGTCGCAGCACCAAAATTCTCTCAGGTCTTAAGAGTTTTCCATTAGATGTTCATATCATTTTAGAAAAAAAAAGAAAACAAAACAAAAAGGGAAAAATTGTCAAGGTAGTCAAATAGGCCTAAAATGTTAATGCCATTGGATTACTCATACAAAAGCAACCACACAAGTATATATATATATATATAAATAATTTCTAGCTAATCTCATACAATACATGTATGTTCAGAAAGGTATGCTAGTCTATTACTCACTGAATGGTGTGCACTTTAACCTGCCTACTTCTTATTAAAAAATAGTAAGTTGAACCGCAATCTTTATTCCAAAATAACGTTTTTAAAAGTAGTATTCTACATTGTCACATAGCCATCTTGTTTTATTTAGTGAGTGGCATCAGTTGGAAATGTTTTTTTCTGCCCTTTTATTTATTTTATTTTTTTTTGTATTTTTACAATTGCATTTGGGAGTCTAATTTAAAAACAAAAAATCCCAGTTGACATTATGTCTAGTCAAATGACAGGAAATGGTAGGTCATGTTAAACACACTGCATTATGGTATACGTTATCCATTTCGGTTGTTTTTATTTTTGGCAAATGTAGCATACATTGCACAACAATATACATACTATATACTACAACTAGATATGTGAGCCAGTGACCACAATAACAGAGATTAAAAGAGAGAGTGTGTGTGCTAAGTGTGTGGGTTGTTCTTCCCTCCAAACAAAAGATTAGCTGACAGATAGTTGACCTTTGTCAAGAGGTCAGATGTTGCTGATACTTCTGCTATAGAACAGAAATTGTTTCATTCATAGATTTTTATTATCTGCATGAAGACGAGCATTGAACCATTACACCAATAAAGCAGCTGCAGCCAATATAAGAAATCATCACATATAGGCTGACAATCATTTTTAATAGATAAAGATATTCAGCTATAGATTAGGCATTGTATAATCGTCAGCTGAAAGTTGTGTAGTACATGATAAATATATATATTGGTATACTTGAGGTATGTTTGATATGCTTTTTCTTTTCACATTTTATATTGTTTGCTATTTAGTGCAAATGAGGCTTGGAACATGATGCACGAGGAGCTTCTGATTCTCTTGTTTTATTTTGGGATGTTTACATGTGCATATCTTACAGTTTGGTTATAAATATGTATATCCAACATTACATCAATTACAAGAAAAAAAGAAGTTCAAAAGAAATGGAAAAAATGGAGTGAGAACAAAAGGCATCAGGTCAGATGTTATTCTGTCTGGTCTCATTTATTACATCATCCTTCAGTGTCCTTGTTCTAGCCTTTTGGTTGAAAATAGCAGAAGTAGGTTAAAACCTTATAATCCCAGCATATACATTTTCTGTTAGTTAGACAGATATAGATTGACAGATAAAGATATAGCTTGCTGCTTTTATTTTCCCATGACTTCTTAGAATATCTGTGAGACATTTGACTGAGGAGAGGCAGAGAGGAATCTAACCTACTAAACTTTCTTGTTCTTGAACAATTAAAGCATGATTCATTCACTAATCTGAGACCTTACTTCATTTAAATATCATGTTTCGATATCTGTTTATATCTTTTTGATACCAAATGTTATCTTGTTATCTTATTTAATAATGTTTTGATACCTGAGGTTTTTATAGTTGGTTCATCGTAGGATGTGTTTTATATAGTAATCTCTTTGTGAAACCAATGCTGACGTTAGCAGGTCCAGATACGCCACTGAAATGTTATTCTTTACCACCTGAAGCAAAATAGGCCAAGTACATGTTATTTTCTGCTCACAAAGCAGGATGTGTTTCTCGTTTTTCTCTTCACCACCTCAAACTAACATTGCTCCATTATTAAAACAATGACAGTTTTCTCATAACTATAATACAAATGTCAATATATGATCCTACTCGATATGCTCTGCATCTCAACAAAAAAAAAGTATCTTTACTATTCACAGAGCTATGGATTCAATGTCTAATGGCTCAAAAGTGACAAAAAACAGCAACCTTAAAAGGTTCTCTTTAGATGACCTACATGATCGCACTCTATAGCTCTTATGTATTGCATAAAACCATTTGAGGGATGTGCAATGGTTTTACAAATCTTACTTCAACAAATAGTGACCAGGTAGCGACCTACTTTTTTATGAAATCTGTTGACAAAAAACTGATGCAACTTGAATGTGAAATCTTGTTCAAATAACCTAATCTTTTATGTACTCGGTCATTTGGCTGTACTGTAAAACTGAATGGCAATGACTTTAACATTGAACTTATTCACATAATCAGTTCATGAGTCAGTCTGGAATGAAGACTTTAGTCTGATGAATCACTGGAATGTTGCCTGAAAGGTCTTCTAAGGAGATGAGATTATCAGTGGTCTTCTCTGTAACCAGCAATGTGTGCATATCGCAGGATACAGAACAGTTGGCAACATCCTGAGTCTGTAGCTTTCCAGCCTCTTCTAAAGCAAAACTGTCTCCTAGTTAACACACACACAATATATATATATATATATATATATATATATATATATATATATATATATATATATATATATATATATATATATATATATATATATATATGAACACAGAAAGCTTATGGGTCAATGACATGACAATTTCTTTGTCAGGATCTATTAATGTATTCAACATTTTTCAAAAATTTATTCAAAAATAATTTTTGGGGTAATTAAGTAAAAAAAAAAATCAGAAACTGCCCTGATATCATAATGAAATAAGTAGTTTGGCATAATCTTCATTATTACTTTTAGGGGAAAAAAATTAAAACCCCTTTTTTACACAAAATTAGTCATGTGGTTCAACCAACATGCAGGGAAAAAAAACAGGAATTTAAAATAATTAATAATTCATCATATAAAGAGAAAAAAATCCTTAAAAATATAATATTTGTCCTGTCTGAATAAAGGGAAAACTGTCTATATTCTGCCTATTTATATTATGTATTCCTGATTTCTGAAGATTATTTTAAAACAACTGAACAACTAAAACAAATATTTGTTCTAAATTATGAGAGAAGATAGGAAAGGAGATTCTTACTGGTGCCTGAAGAGCATGACGGGCATACTGTTGTTCTGGGACACCCTACAACATGAAGGACCTTTTCATCACCGCAGGGAGAAGTATCCAAAACCACATAGACCTGCATACACAATGTGAAAATATACAGTACTGTCCAAAAAAAAGTAACTTACAGAGCAGTCCAAAGCTCATTAGGAACATCTTACCTGTGGAGTGGCTGTTGTTGACTCAGTGATATTGTCCCCACTCATGCTTATGGCACCCACATCATCCTCTGAGGGACATGTTCCAAAATGTCTTTTAGACCTGATAAACAGCAAAGCATTAATATATTTATGACTGGGACTGTTCATAATATACATTAAAATCAATGAATGAAAATAAACCTATTAAGCAAGTTTTAATGTCCGTTTTACCAATGTAAAGCTTGACATATGCTGTATCGTTTCATTTAATTTATTTTTTTTATGGAGACTACTCTTGTGACACTGTCTGCTTTAGTTATGAAGTCTGCAGATTCAATGACCTTTGAATACATCTCTTTTGTTAGTTTTTTTTCTGAAAGGCTAAATGTCAAATTCATTGAACTGGCTCATATGAAATGTACTACAGTCACACAACGCTCATATCTATGTAAATAGTAATCTGAGGCGTTTTGATTTTTTCCGTTCATGGATTGGCACCCTGCTAACTGACACTGAGGGCAAAACCAATCTCTGGATCCTGTTGAGTGAGAATGAAATATGGAGACCTGCAGTGAGACGTGGAGGTATGATAAGTAGCATTATTATGTGTATTAGATATGTGAGTCTCAACCCTACACCTGGGGCAATAATGGGCTTTGGGATAAACCAAACCAGTATTGTGTTTGTGTGTATGTGTGTGAGAGTTAAAGTGTGTGTTAAGTTGATATAGACAGAAAAAAAATTAAGAAAAATAAAATGGAAACACGAGTAACCAAGTGAAAAACGCAATTTTAGACGGAAAAATTGCCACCCATGTAGCTTTTAAATAAGATTATAGATCACTGGGTCCATTTTGGGGTGTAGAAATGACCTATTTTGATATGTAATTGCTGTAGTACAAGCTAAACCAAGCATGTAATTGAAAGCGTGCGACTGCTGCATTGAGGTGCAGGGGCCAGAGGAACCCAAGATAAGTATGCTGCTTTAGGAGTATAACAAAGCACCACACCACAGCTCAATGTCACTAAACCCACTAAACACAGGGCAAGAATTTACTTAACCAGGGTGAGGAAAATATCACCCAGCTGTTTTGATGTGTGCACGTGTGCATTAAAGTCTTCTGACATATGCTCAAGGGGATGAAATCATCTTTAAATCTTTCACTGGCCTTGGCTCCAGCCTCCTCTCCTAATAAACAATTGAATGCTGCTTTTACACACTGTTCACCCGGTAAAGCAGGGAAATTAACCCAGACCGGCAGCAATCGAACCATTAGAGGTTTTCAATAAAATGGGAAAGAGATGTTTTTGAGGTTTTTTTTTTTTTAGGGTTTTTTGTCTTGTTTCTTGAATCCACTACAAATTGGAGGCATTAAGACAAATTGTGGCAGACGCTCTGGTTTTGTACTTTTTTCAGTTTGATTTTGATTTCAGTTGACCATGAGACACTATGGCAGGGTTGTGGAAAATTTTGAACTGAAGAACTGGCCCCTTTTCAAGTCTTGATTTGAACTGAATTGGCAAACACCCACAGAAAGGTAATTTGGAATTGATATGACAGGATGAAGAATTTACTGAATTGCAAATTAAAGAAATGTAACACGTGATGCATTCTGGGAAACAAAGTGTTCATCTTAATTAATTTAATTTGCTAAAAAATGTAAATTAAACAAATTTTAATATGGGGCATTCCAAACATTTCTATCTATCTATCTATCTATCTATCTATCTATCTATCTATCTATCTATCTATCTATCTATCTATCTATCTATCTATCTATCTATCTATCTTTCTATCTATCTATCTTTCTGTCTGTCGTTCTCTTTGTCCAAAGTCC